CCTTTCTCTCACTCCCTCCTTCTCCCCTCCTCTCTCCATCTTCCTTTACCCTCCTTCCGTCCCCTCTCCTCCATCCCTCCCTGCCTCCCACCACTTTCTCCTCCCTCCCCTATTTCATCCCTCTCCCCCTCTTCCGCCCCGCGCTCTCCACCCCGTCATTCTTCAACTCCATTCTACTTTCTCCATCCCTGCCTCTTCGAAACGTCTACGTTCCTTTTTGTTTCCTCGTCGTTTCCTTTCACTTTTCCCTCACAATCAAAAAGTACAGCTGTGTCTATTGCCCTCCATTTTGCACAGCTTTCCAACGACCTTTTTTCCCTTCGTCAGCATCTCCTCCGCCTTCCATCGCTCTCCTCTGCCCCATACCCCTCAAGCCCCAAGACTTTCGCACTGCTCTGTCCGTCAGCGCCATTGCTCTCTCGTGTCAGTTAATAGTCAGGCAGTTCGAAAGCAGAGTGTCTATCTGACTGGCTTGCTGATTGTACGTCGGTATTGTTTTTATTTTCTGATCACAGTATGCTTGACTCACTGAGCATGTCGATCACACGTCCCCGTAGCAGATAATGGGGACGTTTCCTGTCCGAACACCTTCCCTCGCTAAACTTCGTAAAAAAATTAAAAAATCTGTAATTTGTTTCCGTTGTATTAAGAGAAACCTACTGTTATTTCCTACCCGTATCTACATCCAGAGGTATCGGACCAAAACAAAGCAAGTGCAATGGAATGAAAGAGGCTAACGGAGCCCGGGGCGCGGACGATTTGGCTCCGCTCCGCCCTCGCCGCCCGTGGGGGTGTGGCGCGGCGCGGCGCGCGGGGGCGGGGCGGAGCGGGGCGGCGGGTGACGGGCGCGCGCGTGTGCGCAGTCGGGCTGGTCCATCCCGGTGGAGCTGGTGATCGGGCCGGACCTGGGCATCAGCTACCTGACGCACCGCGCCACGGCGCCCACGCGCATGGCCGACTTCGAGCGCGTGCGCGAGATCACCACGCTCACCTCGGCCTGCGACCAGCACCAGAAGGCCGTGGTGCAGCTGCGCGTGGCCGGCGCCGTCGACCCGCTCACCATCACCTGCCCCTCGGCCGACGTGGCCGAGAGCCTGGCGGACCTCGTCGACGGCTACTGCCGCCTCGTCACGCGCTCCACCGCCTCGCTCTGGAACCGTAAGTGCACGCCCACGCACCCTCCCTCGCACCCGCATTAACCGTTTATTTTATATTAAGCGTCATTAAAAAATGAAACGTTTTTTCCTACTCATACATGATTTGTGTCAATGTGATCATTTGGCCCTCATTTGATTGCGAATTATAATCATTTTGTGTTTCTTGTGCAAGCTGCTATATGGAATCCTATTCCTTGCCCTTGCCAAACAAAAGGTTAGTACTGGTAAAAAAGTCTTCAAAAGTTGGTACTTTTCTCTTGCACTGTGTTGGCATTTTCAATATTATTTAGCACATAATCGTATTTGGACTACAAATGGAGCAAATATTGTTGTGTTCTCAGATGGGCGAAGGAGTAGTCCAGAAGGAGGACAGCAGCCTAACACTGGCACAATGCTCTCAGAAGACTACGCAGAAATAGTAGATGAGGAAGGAGACTACTCAACACCTGCAAGTGAGTAAAGTCTGGTAGTGGATTCAAGCTCCTTTTTGTTTACCAATTCTGCATTTAACTTTAATTAGATTTTTCTTATCTTCGAGTGAAAAACTTGGTACGTTTCAGCGGATGCTTCTCAATAGAAACAGCATTTCTTGTTAGAACATTTACCTTGAAATTTGCAAGGACCTTTACACTTGAAATAAATGTCTGAAAGCCGTCATAATTTAAAAACTAGCGGTGTTACAGAATGGCACAGACTTTCCCGTATTTCTTAGTTACCTTTGGTCTAGGCTAGCTATAGAAACTTGGCACATACTGTTGCCAGCTGCCATCTATCTCTATAAATTCTTGGCTATACGGGAGACGCCTCGTCGTCGGCCTCTCAGCCAACGACGCGGTGACTCCCGGAATTGAGCTGCGGAAGTTTACGTGTGCCATCTATCGCTACCCAAAGTACTTTTTTTAATGTATGTTTTTTAAAGAATATTAAAGAACAGTAAAACATCGTCCTTGATGGCAATTTTCTTTGAAACATTTAGAGAAGTTTTTAAGAAAATGGCGTTTGAGCGCTTCTGTAAATTCGACATTTTAACTTTTTTCACCGAATATTTTTGAGTTTTCGAAAACCTTCATTAGCAGTAATTTGAAGTACTTTAAATCACAAATACAATCCTCTTTACAAATTGCTAGAAATATCCATATTGCCGGCGCGAGAGATCTTTCAAAAAAATTACATTTGCCCGGAGGGCTTCACGTAAAGTACCCACAACTTTTGAAGAATGTTTTTCAAAATCTCAATGCTTCCACTCGAGTCAGATGGACAGGGGTTTCTTTAATTTGGAAAAAGTCGTATACATTGTGGAGGCGCTAGTAGAGTTCGCAGACGGACGGACGGATTTATTATTTATGAATTAATTTATTGATTTTGTATTTTATTATTAATTATTTGATCTTCCATCATTTATTCATAATTCAACCAACAAATGTAGTAAAACAGAGATTACGGAGCTCAAGAAAATATGCACAGATTGTACTTCTCCCCTATACGTTACATAAGTTCCTGTTGGTTTGTTTTTTTCGCATTAAATAAGGATTTGTATGCAATGTAGTAATATATTTCTCTTTAGGTAATTCGAATTCGTTAAACAGATGGTTATTATTGTGGTAACAAAACAAGGATATCACGGGTTAAAATGGCACAAGAAATGGGACACGCAACTGATCTGTAGGTGATAGCCAACTGCTGTCACCTTTCTCGGCTTGTGGCACATGAAGGCACTTCGAGACATCGAATAACCTATTTCTAGTGTGGACGCAGCCTCACCGGCTTCTTTCCTCATTTCTCGTCCCACATTTCTCGCAACGCATCTCTCGGTGTAGTCTGTTGCGGCCCTTATAAGTGTATTTTACTCTATTCGTACAAGAAAATTTTGAAAATGTCCGGGGGCTTCATGTAAAGTACCCCCGAATTTTGAAAAAAGTTTTTCAAAATCGTAGCACCTCGAGTCGTGCTAGACTGATTATTTTGGGGAAAAAAATCCTACGTATGGTTTAGGCTGTAGTTGTGTTCACTTGGGCGGACGTTTTGCCGCCAATTGGTTTTTCGGTATCAATAACCCACGAACTGGGAGTTCTGGCTACACCATGTGTTTTTTTTCTTAATTTAGCAACTGGTTGTGTACCCACTCTTTCGTTATCAGTGCACGGCATTGATTTTTTCTGTCAAAAATCCGTCGTTTTTGTTTTTTTTGGCGCAGCATTACATAACTTTTCCTATACTACATATGTTACTCTGTCTATAAGTGCGTATACGGGAAAGTAAAAAAATATATTAGTTTTGTAAATTTTTAACATTTTTTATGTTTTTGTTCAATAGATGGACCCTTTAATAAAACAATGATTTCAATCTCTTTTGATGGATGATCTTGCAAATGTTTTGCAAGAGACTAAAAATTTGTATTTAATATTTTGCATTCTTAACATTTTGCTTGAATAACATTTTTACATTTTCATACATGAGTTTTAAGAACTTTTTATTTATATATTTTACATCATAAACAGTTAAAAACTGTGTGTGCTACGCTTTGGGGAGAAGTGTATTGTCTACAATTTTTTTAAATTCTGGGATTCCTACCTTAAGCCTTATAAAAGTTGAATTCTGCATACAGAAAAAAAAATAGTGTTTTTGGCAAGAAGTGATATGAAAATATTCACTCTGGTGTAATAAAATCCATTTTCAAGGACACGTCAGCTCTAAATTTGGGTTCCTATCCCTTGTTGTGTCCTACTTCCTGCCGTGATGTTATGGAGAGTGATAATTTGAATAACTATATTTCCCATTGAACTCTAGATGTGCACAGATGTGAAGTACAATTATTTTGAGTTTTATTTAAATTAGATCCACTCTAGAAACTACTAATACACAAATCAAAAATTATGTCTATGGCACAAAAATGTTTTGATTAGAGAGAATTTCAGTGTGTGCATTGTTTTGTCATTTATATTTTGTTAATTAAAAATATGTTTAAAAACACTTTGTGTTAAACATTATTTTGTTAATGCATGTAATGATGCAAGTTTTGGAATATTTACAGCTCGAGATTACGAATTAGTACGGTCCCATGTTGAACTTGGTGAGACGATTGGGGAGGGTCAATTCGGAGATGTGCACAAAGGAAGTTACCGAGCATCTGATGGTCAGTTAGTTCCTGTAGCTGTCAAAACATGTAAGGCAGATGCAGACCTTGCCACCACTGAGAAGTTCCTAGAAGAAGCCTGTAAGTACTCAAAAATTTCATCTCTAGTGATGTGCGTGTAGAGGATATACATTATTGCATGGAGTTTACCTGCTATTGTCCTCTCAATTCTATAATTTTTTTATGGGATATTTGTAACATCATAACACCTTCGACTGGAACAATATGTACTCAATTAGAAGAAAGTAATTTTCTTGCTGAGCATGAGCACATATGACAAGAAGACTCTTTTCTCTATGAATGTGCCTTTTTTTCATGAAATATTAATATAAATATTCAGTATTTATAAAAGAAAATATAGAAGACATGTTTAAAATAACCCTGTTTTAATCACATTTTTAATTGAATTTAAGTTCTCTAAATATCGTATATATTTCAAGAGTTTGAAGATTTGCATTACTTTACTGAAAGGCATCTGTGCAAATGTACATTTTTAGTGCATGTGTTTGTTACAGATATCATGCAACAATTTGATCATCCACACATCATCAAACTAATTGGAGTATGTTCTGCAAGTCCAGTTTGGATTGTAATGGAACTTGCTCGCCTTGGAGAAATGCGTGCTTACCTGCAAAGCAACCGTCAACGTCTTGACCTAGCCACACTGTTATTGTACTCATTTCAGTTGTCTACTGCTTTGTCTTACTTGGAAAGTAAAAAATTTGTGCACAGGTATGTGTTTGGATGAACAACGTTAAATAATTGTTACTTTAAGGTTGGGACTTGTGTATAATCACTTTCCTAAACCCCAACAAAAATGTTCAATTCTTAACATTGTGGCCATAAACACTGAATTAAACCTGCTATTAAAGATGTTCTGCCATTAGTTATGTATAATTTTACTGCTTGTTCATTATAAATTATTATAATCATATAATCGTCATTAACTATTAAGGCCTAGATGTCTGTTCCTTTGTTATTATTTTAATTTGCTGACATATTGTTAATTTATTATTTCGGTAAATTGTTACTGTAGTTACTGTATTTGGTAAATTGCAGTAAATAATAGCTCAAGAAATTTACTGATATGGGTAATCTAGACACATCTAGAGTTCAAGAAATTTACTTTAGAAAGCTCAAGAAATAAACTGATATGGGTAATCTTATCTTGTAATAATCATTGTCTCGCTCATTTATGATCTCTTTTTTCAACACAAGCTAAAATGAATTAATTTTCAATATCTCATTCATTCATTCAGGAACTATCCACTGTAATTTTTTAAATTTCTTCTCATATGCCTTTGTTACAGAATTTTCAATTACCAGTTCTTAAACAGATGAACATCAAGCTCAAAATATCTTTTAAATTATTTCAGAATAACAATTTTACTATTGCAGCATTAATATTCACTAGAAATAAAGGCTAGATATTTTCTTTGCTGCTTTTTGATCCTATTGAATTGCATGTAACATTTTATATTTTATTATTGTACTTGTGTGTAAATGTTTTTTTTTGTCCACATAGGGACATAGCTGCACGCAATGTTTTGGTGTCTTCCCATCATTGCGTTAAATTGGCTGACTTTGGTCTGAGTCGTTGGGTGGAAGACCAAAGCTACTATAAGGCCTCCAAAGGAAAATTGCCAATTAAATGGATGTCCCCTGAATCTATTAATTTTAGGCGATTTACAACTGCAAGTGATGTGTGGATGTTTGGTAAGTGTCCTATGTTATTCTGTGAGATATCATAAATGAGGAAAAGTGCTTGCAGAATCATGCATATCTTCATACAATTCAAAAATTATTTTTCTTTTTCTTTTAGAATTGTTTTAAGTTCAGATATTAAAAATATAGCTGCTAAAACATGTCAGATGTTTATCTTAAAATTGTCATTTAAGTATTGGCTTTTGACACAATTCATTATACACATATTTACCAAAACTTGTATGATTGTAAAATGAAGTAAGAATTTCTGGGATGGGCAAATATGCTTCTGCCATCTGCTCATAATATTGGAAATTACTGCTACTAACTGCTGTTAGTAAGTTGACAGTTGGTAATAAGTGAAACTTTTTATGTGTCAAGCAGTACATTACTACTTAGTACTTTCGTACTACTAACTTTCATTAGTACTTTCATTAAAGTTGCACATCCTGTGTTTAAATAATAAACTATTAATATTTTTTTATTCGATACTTTGTCATAGAAGATAATAAAAGTAAAATTGCTATTAAGATAAATTTTGTTCTTAAGAAAATCAATGTAACTTGGTGTTTAACATGTTCAGGTTGCTGTGTGAGAATGAATAACTGAAAGTCAGTGGGACCCCTTTCCATTGAACTTAAAAATCTTTTTAATGTTTTGAACTTTTAAAGTCTTTATTAATGCTAAAAGCATTATAAGTTAATCTAACAAATTTTGTAATCTAAGTAATCATTGTTTTTTTTCCCCTTAAGACATTTCAATTTGTTTCGGAAACCCTGGCTCTTTGTATGCTGCTAAAAATTGCAAAATTTATTTTAAGAATGCAAATGTGTTGTATAAATTATTTTCTACTTCATTTCTAATATTTCTAATATTTTGATTTACAGGTGTCTGTATGTGGGAAATTCTGATGCTAGGTGTGAAACCTTTTCAAGGTGTGAAAAACAACGACGTGATTGGCAAAATAGAAAATGGTGAACGGCTGGCCCTACCTCCTAATTGCCCTCCACGTCTGTACAGCCTAATGTCACAATGCTGGGCTTACGAACCTAGCAAGAGGCCTAGTTTTAAAGACATTCGAGAGGTGTTGCAGTGAGTGTTCTACTTCATGGTTTAAATATTTAAAAAATGTTTTTACTTTTAATACACTTTTGTCCATTTATTTGTTCCACATTTCATATATGGTTTCATTGTCGACATGCAGGCTCTGTTCAACTGGTTATAATTCAAAGATTAACATTTACAGAATTAACATTTAACATTACAGAACATAATATTTTGTTATTATCTATCATGTTTAGAATAGCGGTTCCCAAAATACACACTCACCCAAAGAGTTCATGAACTTTATAAAGAGATTTCATATATGAAAATATAGTAATGGCAGAATTTTAAATCCAAAACATATTGTATGTAAACACATACCTGGACGACACATACATTGGTTAATAAACTGATCTGGAACTGAAACATTCAATTAAATTTTTTAACAAATTACAAATACCCATGAGAGGTCTTTCATATTTAACCCAATCGTTTCTTAAAAACCAAGTGATTCACAGAAATTAAATATAAATGTGTTTTTACTTTCTCGCATACTACACACCAGTGGAGTCTTCTGAAAGATCGGTTAGGGAATGCGGTATAAAGTAGCAAATAGTTTTCAATAAAACACTGGTTGACTTTTCAATACTTACTGAGATCTGGTGCTCAGACATCATTGTTTAGTTACTTATTAGTATCGAAAATTGACAAAAAATAGCAAATATTAGGAAATATATTCTATTATTAATGACCATGAATGGGTGAAAATCAGAAAGGTATTAGTTTATAAATTCTAACTTCATTCTAATTCAATAAACTATTTATTTAATTCAATATTACTGTGAAGTCACGGTGCTTTCTTTCGTCATTAAAACCACGCCATTTCAATTGTTCATTAAAACCAAGACGTTACACTGCAACTGAAACATAGGCTAAAATAAACGTGTTTTTCTCAGAATTAATAAAATGTCTCTTATACCATTTAGGTTTTCGTCCTTTCAAATAGCAGAAACTCAAAATTGAGACGCACTAGACCCTAAGGTGTCTCACTGTAGCCTGCTCGTTGTTTCCCCCCCCAAAAACTTAGATATTATGCCGTATCACTTTAGCCCCATCAGATTATTTGATACACAATTTTCATTTCTTTTTTAGGAGTTGTGGTATGTCTTAAGTTGTTTTTTACTTTGTATACAGTCTTTAGCATCAAAAGGCATGTATTCAGTTTTTTCATGTGTTTGCTGCAAACGCTATAGAAGATAAGATGAAACATTTGTTTCTCTGTATTATAAAAGCCTCAATTGACCCCCAATTATCAAAAGTTCAAACTTGACAAAATTGTCTTGAAGCTTGGAGTAAAAGGTGTACTAATGAGATGCTTAACTGCTATATAACAAACTTCCCCTGGTGAAGAAAATTGGAACTGCTTCCGCTAAGTCCATATTCTACTGCCCCTGGAGGCCAATGAATGAAATTATTGGAGCCGAAGTTTGTATACCAGATGTTTGCAAAATCGCATCAGACATATGACTTGTGCTCATCTCCCCAGTAGGCAACCTTCTCGGAGGTCGCTGGCCTTGCAACAGAGTAGAACATAGGGAACAGATGTGACTCTCATATGGGAAACAATAGTGTTACAAAACCAGGTACTGTAATTCATTACAGTGGTCTGATGCACCCAAAGATACGTCAATATATTTTTTCATAGAGAAAATGAGAAACATGTTCTCTAAAGACTAGAAATCATGAAAGCCACCGAATAACAAAGAGGCAGCGCATCATTCCCATCCATTGGTACTACACCACTGCTACACATAGTATAAAGTTAAGAAATGCTGCAGCAAAAAATGGTGAAGTTTTGGCTGAAAAAATTGTATTGCATGTCCCTAATATCAAAAAAGTGGATAACTCTTGTTCCTGTATTTTGAAAATTACTTCTTCTAACAGGTGTAATCAGTATCCACATCTTGTGGGTCCTTGCTATCAAAAAATTGGTTTATGGGAAAATTTATTTCTCTGAAAATGAGTTCAATATTGTGCATTTTCAGAAATGACATTCCAAAAAATGGCTCCAAATTTTTTCTTGAAACTTTTCTTGGGAAGAATAGTACATTGAATTACACAACTTGAAAGCATTTTGTTGTATTATATTGCATTTAAAAAAATTACACATGTAATACACAAATGTAACTTATTTAATATCTTCCTCTTTGTTAATTGTAACATTACGGCGTTTTTAAGACATTATTGCATTTGCGAGGACAAGTGCTTTAATCAACTTCTTACAAAGTTTCTCGAAAACTCAAAAGTTTCCTGTGAAAATTAGATCAAAATTGCACATTTTCAGAAATACCTAAATGACATTTCTCAAGAATGGTGCTAAATTTTTCAACGAAAATTTGTTTATATAACTATATTTAACTCTTCTATAATGTTGTTAGTTATATTTTAACTCTACCATTAGAGGACCAGAAAATTGAGAAACGTGAAAAAACGTTTTAAGGAACTGACTGATAGGTAGCAACTGGGAAAAGGTTGGGACAATACTGACAACTTGTGTGAGAAAGTCTATGCCATTATGTATCACCACTAGTTTTATCTCGCTTCAATGAATTTTCTGTTATATTATGTTAATTATGGACTTATTTTTTGTAGACCAAACTATCACTTAAATTTTATTAATACTTGTCAGTGTTATAAACTATTTTTCAAAAAGGACAATAATTCAGGAATAATTGTCTTGGAAGATAGATATAAAAATGCTTACCTGTCCTCATCTTTGACATCTGATACCTCATTTCTTTTTGCAGTGAGATCTTACTGGAGGAGCGTCATCAGCAAACTGAGACAATGAGACGAGAAAACAGACGTGTACAGGCTATGTCTTGGGGTGTGTATGAATTCTTTACTTCTTTATGTAAAAGGTGTCAAATTATCTAGAACTATCTAGGTAGTCAAATTGACTTGAAAAATTAAAATTTTAAACACATTTTAGTTGATAAAACTATGTAAGTTTTTGTAGCTGGGGTCAATGTTTAAATTACTTTCCGTGCTGATTTGCTGTGGTCAAGTTGTTTCCATACTTGCAGATGTTTTATCTGCAAATGTGACAGACATCATTTGTGGTCCACCTCTGGCATTGGTTAGAGACGCTTCCTAGTGTGTTCGTGAGTGGCTGACTGAGACTGACCACTACATGTCAGACCAGAAAGCAATTTAAACACATTTTGGTGTGATTTGTGTTGATGTAAATTTATCTGGGTAATTGAAAATAATTGAAAACATTGACAATAATTACTTTAAAAAAAATCTTGGCTGTCTGGGTGATACCATGATGAAGGCTTTGATGTCGACATTTTCACCATCTTGTCCTGGTCTTCCTCAGGGCTAGTTGGCGAAGGAAGACCGTTACAAGGTGATTCAAATGTCTGCATCACAGACTTCGACTTAGCGTAACCTGGACAGCCAAAATCTTGTTGGGGAGGCCTATGACTGATTTGGTCATTGAAGCTTATGACTTACATTTGTTGAATTTTTGCATTTAATGTAAATTTGTTATTTCAAGGTGGAAATTCATATAATAATAATTTAATTTTTTATTACTTATAGTTTGTTTTTCTAAGACATAAATACATAACCTGCCCTTTTTATTGATTAAAATGGTAAAGTTGCAACAGTGACAAGATTTATTATTGTTTCATAGTGTCTCAGCACTTGTTATTTAAGAATATTTTGTTATGTAGTTATCACTATTAGCAAAGGGAGACTTTTGTGAATCCTTGTTATGCAGCCATCTCTCAGAGCGTCCTGTCTCAGGCTCTTCAGGATCTGACGACCCTCCTCCACCAAAGCCAGCCCGTTTCCCAGCAGGCCTTGCAGCTGACTCTACATCTTTGGCATCGTTATCTGGTCCTACTGGCAATGCTGAAGCACCAGCTCCTTCCACCTACATAGTGGCACGCAACCCGGAAGTGCTTGCTCAACTGCTGCGTGAAAATGAGAGCCGTGGTGTGTCTCCTGCTGTCTACACAACGCCAGCCTCTGCTTTCAACACATTAACGGTAGATTTTGAAAAAGTGAATGCTGGTTCTGGGTCAACTGGCAGCACTGCAGCTGCTGGTTCCACAACTGTCACCCCCGGTCCATCTTCTCCAGGCCCGGTTTCACCTACTCCTTCTTCTCCCATTCCAACCCCTGCTGCTACCCCTATTTATGGTGTGTCACGTAAAGCGCAGAAGGCTTCCACGACTACATCACCAGCTGCATCACCAGTACTCCAAGCAGTGCGATCGCGTCCTGTGGTGGCAGCCACTGCCACCCCTGCGTTGTCACCTGAGGAGGCTCTCCAGGCTTCCACGCCTGGTCCCACCCCAACCCCCCAGGTTTGCCACACCCTTCTCCTGCCCGTGTGTGCCATTGCCTGTTGCCTGTAGTTGCTCATTGGTGGTGTACCAAGGTGCTGTGGTAGGAAATGTGTTGTAGATAAAGAAATGAGAATAGTTAGAAGACTAGATGAATTTGAAATTCTGCTTTGTTACCTGTGCCTAGTTCATTGCTTTACTTATATCATTTCCATATTGTAGGTTCAATTTATTATTTTTAAAAAAAAGAAGATACTAGAATTTGGAGAAGTGGACCTCCCGTATATCTATATTTATGAAACAACTTATATAGTTTTTTCTTTCCTTTTATGAGTTGACACAAAGTGTTCAAATGTTAGGGGTAAAGGTGAAGAAGATATGTATGTTTTTATTTTCCTGTATACATACGTATATAATATGCTAAAAGTTACGTAATGCTGCGGAAAATTGATTTTGAGATTTCAACAGAAATGCATACTTTGGGTTATGTAATGCTGCGGAAAATCGATTTTGAGATTTCAATAGAAATTGCATGTTTTTGAGTCCCCTAATACCAAAAATGTGTTTGTTTTTTTTTTAAAACGTCCGTCTTCAAACTTTTCGACAAGATAGTGCTAATTGCACTCTTTAATTTGACATAAAGTTAATTCAGAGTATATTTTTATTTTTTCAAAAATTACACATGTGTAAATTTTTTGAAATGTCTTAATATGCACATTTCTTGCAATTTGTAAACACTATTGTATTTGTGAGTTAAGGTACTTCAAATGTCTCCTAATAAAGTATTTCTAAAACTCAAAATTTTCTGTGAAAAAGAGCTTCAAATTTTGAATTATAGTAGCTGATTACGTGTACTTATTCTTAAAAACGGCCAAATTGTTCAAAGAAAATTGCAATATGGAACGAGTTTTAACTGTTTTTTAATATCCATGAAATATTTCCGTTCGATTATTAGGAAATCGAAAAATTAAGAAAATTTTAAAAAAATGTACTTTGCGTGGCGATAGATGGCAGCTGGCAAGAGTTATGTGGCAATTTCATATAGCTAGCTGAGACCAAAGGAAATAGAAATCTAATACAGGAAAGTCTGTGCCATTCTGTGGTGTCACAGGTTTTGAACTGGCAGAAAAAAATGTATAGTAATACCAGAAGAAAATGTTTACCTAACAAACCATGGTATATAAACCTTGTAGGCTTCATGTGCCTTCTTTCATTGTTGTTCTGATTCAGAACAACGCTAGATAATTTGGTTAGTATAAAGTCTTTCCCTATTTATATAGTAGATTATTTTCATTAAAAAAATTACTGATTCAAGATTTTGTTAATTAAGCAAAGTGTTCATTAAAATATACTATTCCAGAAAAGCAAATGAAAATAAAGTTGGTCTGGGGTTTAATTTCACTGGGGAAGAAGGTGTGAGAGGAGATGGAGGGGTCAGTATCATTTCAATTTACTTAGAAATGCCTTATCGACGTGATGAATTCATTTCTACATGGAATAATGCCATTCATTTTTTTTTCTATAAACTCCCTACTTGGAACACCACCTCCTCATTAGATAAAGTAAAACAATTTTGTGGATTGAATGCTGCTTTTTGATTTAATATAAATTGCATGCATTAATTTAATGCAAAAATGATAACAGTGAATCCTTGTTTATTGCAAACATTTTTATTTTCTTAAATGTATTTCTCTTTTCATCTGTATTATTTAGAAATTGTACTTTCTGGCAAAATAATTTAATGAATTATGTTTTTGTAAAGGTAGTTCATAACCTCATAATCATAAATGTAAAATATTTGTTTGTCCAGAAGTAACAAAACAGTAGAAAAGAGTTGTGAAATTTAATCACTTACCAAATAATGGTATTTACCAATTGAAATTTCAGCGTTGAGACTTAAATGTCAATGAGTTAGTTTTCTTCATTAACAATTGGAGAAGCCAGACATGATGGCCAGCATTAACTGTAGAAGAACTCTGAAGAAGATTTATAAATGTCTGTAATGACTCGACAAAGGACACATTCTCTTGGTCAGCTAAGATGTGACATTGTGGAGAATGCTATTTGAGGCTTTCAAACAAATATGATGTCTTGGTACAAAGTGTGAATATATTACTTTCAATAACAGGGAATAATTTTTCTAAGTTTTTAATTGAGTTATTCTTCTTTTAAAATAAACAAGGTTTCACTGTAACATTCTGAATTTTTGATTGTTTAAATTTGATTTATTTGTTTCATTTTTTTTTAGTAGGTGTCTGATAGAAATTGGAATGCTCAATTAGAGGCAAAAATCTTATCTTGTTTTGGCAGCACAAAATTCTTTGCAACTTCTTGCAATCCATTGTACTATGCAGTTTGACTTTTAACAGTACAATGCATTTATTCCGACCCTTAAATTCCTGCTTTTTTAATTTCAAAATAGCCTGCTGTATGACTTCACTCCCTATTGTGATATTTTTCCTATTGAACTTCATCCTCATTGATTCGCTGTGTGATTTCATGCCAGAGAAGATCAAATCCTATTCTCCAATTCCTGCCGTATGTCATGTGAATGTATGTATCATTAGTGATTATTTTGGTTTGCAATTCTAATTATTGCATGTGAGCAAAAGCATTATTCTATGCATTGTTGGAAATTTCTTTCATAAAAAATATGTGCTGGATTTATTCCTTGGTCTAAATTCATTTGTAATTTTGATGAAAGAAATTTCATAATATTTATTAATAATAATGAATTTCTTCTAATATTATTTACTTTTTACAATGAAGGACTTATTGTTAGTAGAACAGAACACCTTAAACTTTGTGCCACTTGTTAATAAATTGTGAATGTTCTTGTAACAAAATGTTTGTAATATAGTAGTGATTGTGAAAATAAGTGTGAAATGAAGCAGATATAAGATAAAACTTTTGTTTGTTGCTTACATTTGTTTTTGGGCTGAGGTAATATGTACTCAAAAGAAATAATGCAGATACTTTTATTATTATATTTTGTATTTACTACTCTTTAACTTTCAACAAATATAACATTAATAGATTGTCAAAATATATGCAAATTAATTTCAGAAGCTCTGTTGTAATGTATTTACTGCTTAAGTATTTGTTCTGCCATGTTGTACTTCTCACTGAATGTCTTGTTCTTTTGTAGAGTACCGCACATGCATATGGAATGAATTATTTGTTTGTGCACAGAAATTTGAGACTGTTTTTGTTAAAATTTACTATTCTTGATACCAAATATTAATTTCTGTACATATTTATCATGATAGTTGAATGTATAAATCGCATGCTGAATAATCTGTGCAAATGTTTCTGTTTTCTTGATACTCATTTGCAGAAGTTGATATTTGAAGTTTCTTTATTAGATGAGAATATTTGATTGTAATTGAAGAAGTAACTGGTATGTAAGAAATCAAGAAAGTGGAAATTTTTGCAAGCCTCTTACTCTTTCTTGGAGTGGGTCTTCAGTAAACTCTTTGCATTCAGGGTGCGGAAGCATCTGTGTATGGAGATGCTGCATTGGCTGAAGCTGCTCGTGGTTGTCCTGATGGCTCCACTGAAAACAGTTTACAAAGAGAGCAGCAGCAACTGCAACAAAGGCTGCGACAGCAACAGCGTCAATCTGAGGAGGATAGTCGATGGCTTCAAGAAGAGGAGATTAATTTGGTGAGTGTAAATTTACTTATGAAAAGTTGTACAATTCTTTAAGTCAGAATATAATAGGTACAACTCTGTAAGTAAATGTGCCTATAAAGTATTTAATGATTTTCCTGAACATGTAATTGATAATTGAATGGGCGAGTAGTATATGAAGTCAACATGGGTAGTCAAAATAGCTAAAATGGGTGTGCCAACTGTATGTGACATATGGTGGAGAAGTAACATCTGTGCATGTTTTCTTGAACTCCAGAATCCCTTCCCAATGTTTTAACTATAAATAGTTGAAAGGAAATAATTATGTATAAATAAAAATGTGCAAGATTGGCAACATTTGAAAAACTAAACATTTTTGCTTCCGAGTAATAGAAACTTATTTGCATTAGTAAATTAATGCAGATTTGATTTTTTTGAATTGCTAGTGAAATAGAAACACACGTCATACTCCACTTCTACTATTACAAGTAAAAGCAGAGCTCAATAAAATGTGCACATAGTGAAGCCACATGTATGTCCAGAAGCAAAACGAGAGGCCACCTTAGCATTTGCTCAATGGATTAGGAAAATTGGTCAAAAACCTGATTGAGATGGAGATCATTGACCTGAAACGGAAATACATTTCTTTCTACAGGCATATTAAGTCATTTAACAAAAAAAAAATACAATACAAATGTAAATTAATGCATTATATATCATTGTTAAAATTAACAATATTTTTCTTTTTGATGAGCAGTATAGCTTCTAATTGTATAGATATGGTTATGCAGCAGAAAAGAATTTATTTTTAACTTATATTTCAGTATAATTTTTAATTGTTTTTAATACATGTGGTAATATGTTCTAAAGTAACATACATGTGTTCAAAATTCATAAATTCAGTATCAAGTAATTTATGTTTTCTCAAATTTAAAATTTAGGTACAAATCATACTACTCCATTAAAAATTTGGTAACATTTAATTAAACATGTCAGAAATCTTTTTCCCACATATGAGAGTTCTCACTTATAAGTGATAAAGTTCCATTCCTCCAGCTGTCTTAAGGTTAAAGGAGTTTTGCTATTCCATTTGAAGTTTGACTGAAGGTTCCAATCCTCAAGCATGAGTGTTTTCTTGTGTTTTGTGGCATGGCGGAATTCTGCAAACCACCATGAATGAACTTTCGACCTGCTTCCTTTTGTCAATCAGTTTCTTTCACCAGTCAGTGTGCGGATGGACCTAATGATCTCTCCTGTAACTGCAGAGAGGAAGGTCCTATTGCATACAACATTGTTTGAACTTGAAAGTCAAGTAATCGTGTATCAATTGCTTAAAATTCCTATCTTTTAAAGTTTCAATATGTATTGAAGATGTAATGCAGTAGGGGAACAATAGAACATTTTTATTTCAGATTTTAAACAAAAATGTAAATGAATGGAAGCATCTGTGTAATGTGACATGCATAATATATTAAATACACAAACAATATCTATATAATATTTGTATTTGAGAATGAACATTTTGAGAATAGTGTGTATAAAGAACTTTATTTTTGCAATGCTGATGTGTTTTCATAACAATTCTGATTTGGTCAGTCAACAGGGTGTGTTTTTCCACTATAAGGTGTTTTGCAATATTACTGTTCTTGCACACACCCATTCAATTGGTTTACTTTGTTTGTGATACTTCTGGACTGTAAAATTGTTGTAGCTGAGTGTCTTGAAAATTTAACAATTATTTTAAATCACCAACTTTATTATCCAACAAACATTTCATTTTTTAATTTTTTTGTTGTACAGAAGAAAAAGAATGAGGAACATGAGAACATATAGATTTTAAAAATAAATATTATGCATAAGTATTAACATAGTGAAGGTTATATACAGTGTGCTCATGGGGTAGTGGTCAGACTGCACACCTGGGTTCGATTGCAGGTGGTTCCAAGTGGAATTTATGAAGGACAAAGCGGGTTAGCAGCACGTTTTCTCTGGGTACTTGTTTCCCCTGCATATGCATTCCATCCCATTAGGGTCCTATGATCAGAGTGGCATCTGGGCAATAATGGAGAAACTAGCTGAGAAGGTTCATGGCTACCTCAGCAGGTTATTAATAGGTAGGGTCCTGGCCTGATGAACTAGAGGGAGAGGAGAAAAGTGAAGCAGGAGAGAACAATCCTTCCTGAGACCCTAGAGAACGGAAAAATAGTTTGGTTAGTGAAGGTTATAAAATTCAACAATTTATGGAGAAGTACATTCTTATATAGGAAAGCTTTTCATTATAGTGAATTGTGCCATGTTCTTAAATGCTTGCTTGTGTCTAATATGTATTCTTGTATAAATTCATATGATCTTATGACAACCGTACTATAGTTCTTGCATGAAAGTTTTGAGCCATAAGGGAGTTTGTGTGGGTATCAGATGCCTCAGCACATCTTTTGCTCATTTTTTCCCCTTGCAGCTTGCTTTCCTATTTTGAGCTCCAGACTTTGGAGGTGATGTGTTGTAAAGGAGCTAATGCTTTTGATAAACAGTGATCCTAAACCTGTTCATAGTTTGTACATTTTTTGACTTTTCAGCATTCAAGTTTGCACTTGAAAGAGGCTTGCCTGATAGCAATTGCAGCAATATTAATCTCCCCTCTGTACAAGTCAAAGGACCATCATTTGATTGGAGCTGTTTTATCCCTGCTAGTGAAAAGTTTTTTGTTGTTCATGTTTATGTTCATGCTCATGTTGCAAATAAAATTGCTGTTGGCATATGTGCATTTGTGCTTTGATGCAAATGCATGGTCATGTTTCATGAACTCATTAGAGGTACTTATAAGATTTTCTGAAGAGAAGTTAAAACAATTCCTAGCAAAGATTGTAAGTACCAAAGATTCACAATAAATCTTCGGTACCTACAGTCTTTGCTAGGAAATGTTTTAATTTCTCTTCAGAAGATACACAATAAATCTTCAGGGATTCTCATTGTCATAGGAAGAGGCGGAATGATAAATTCTTTGCAAATTCAACTACTGAATAAAAAGGCAGATTCTGTGTATCTGTGCATGACGTTGGTCATTTTTTAATATTCTGTAGAAAAGATAGCTTTATGTTGGTAGACAAACTTATCATGATAAAAAAGATAGAGACACAGCTTTTTATTTCAAATGATATGCACAGGTTACATTTTCAATAACAATTATCTACCATTATAATAAATATTAGTAATATACTATTAGTGTTGTTATTAGCAACATTAACTTATGTTGAACGAGATTCTGAGACTAAGCTGTAAATTTCAGTTGTAGATACTTCTCTGTTAAATTTGAAATTGCTGACTGCTTACTCATCTAGCTCTTGTTGCAAATGACACTTGCCTAAGCTCTCCATAAATATGTAATTTGAATTTAAGATTGCAAGTTGTTCACTTTTTAAAAAAATAAAACAAAATAAACAGAATATTTCATTTATCATAAGTTACTCTTCTGCAATCATGATCCTAAGGAATGTAGGTATACTTCTCTTAAAAATAGGTCACTTTATAATTTTTAGACAGCAGAAAATTTTCTTCTTCAATTATATTTCATAATTTAAATTTAATTTTATGTCTAGTTTTTCTAGACTTCAACAACATTTCGAGAGTTATTGTGCACCCATCTTCAGATCTAATCAAATAATACAGTTCATGTTAACTTGTAAATGTATGATATTAACCGAAGTCAAGAACTAGATAACAAAAAACACCACAAACAAATAAACAAACAACAACCTAAACAACTTTTTCAAATAACATGATTTTAAAGTCCAACAGAAGATATCACTTTGTGCTGGTTTATAGTGACTCGCCGAGGAAGTTTATCCATTGTATAAAATGACAAATCTTCTCAAAAATTTTATGTTTTGAAATTTAGAAAGCCATTTCTAGAAAATATTCATATTTAAATTACCGTTTTAAGAAAATAGAGTTCACCTGTTTGTCACAATCGCCATCTTGCTAACTGACCCTCGTATGTTCGGGAAATAGATTGGAATAGTAGTAGGAGTTTCAATCTAGTTCCCTGCTAAATTGTCTGCTGTCTAAAACTTTTAAAGAGACCTGTTCTTTAGAGAAATACTAATGTAAGAAGACAGTATAAAGTTGTATAAAATGTAGGTATACATTCATAATGGTGTGTGAAGGCAATTGTAAACTAGTGGTGCTTAAATCAGCATATACTTTTTCGCTTGTATTTGCACAAAAAATTATACGAAAAGTACTTAAATTTTCAAAAAATTGTACACCACTTGCACTTAAACTATCTGTAGGAATTTTTTCCAAATGGAAGAAATCCCTGTTCATCTGACCCATTCGAAGCTTTGAGATTTCAAAAAAGAACTTTAAAACTTTTTAGGTACTTTACATGAAGCTCCTGGAACATTTTCAAAATTTCTCAAAAACGGCACCAAATTTTTTTCAAAATTTCTTGTAAGAATAAAGGAAAATACACTTAAAAAGGCGGCTTAGTTCTAATTTTCAGGGTTAATTCTGAATTTTTAAAAATTTTAATTTTTTCCCTGCATCCTCCTACAATTGCAAATATTGAAGATAGGGATTTTTCTTTCAAGTAAAATTTGTTCTCTAAAGTTAGTTCTTTCATTAAGGTCATGTATATTTTTTTGAAAATTTTAGTATTTTTGGGCAATATTATGTACAATACGTACAATAAAAAAAACAACACTAAAATTAGATTTTCTCAAGAACAGCTCCAAATTTTTTCTTCAAACTTATTATACAGAGCGTGCTAAATGCACCGTTTAAGAAGACATAAAATTAATTTCGCCGTATTCTTTTTTTTTTTAACTACACATTAATAGCACATATTCAGCGATTGGTATTGCAATTGTGAATTCAAGTGCTTCAATTGACTTTGAATGAAGATTTTCGTAAGATATTGTGTAAGAAAGAGCACCAAATAACACTTAAACGCCATTTTCTTAAGTATGCGTCAAATTTTTTAATCAATAATTGCCATTTAAGACGAGGTTTTATTATTTTTTAACATTTTTAAAGTAATATTTTGGCTCTAGTATCAGAAAACCGAAAAATTTGGAAAATTTCAAAAAAATATACTTTAGGAGTTGATACATAGCAAGAGATTCTAGCAATTGCGAATAGCTGGCCCAGACCAAAGAAAGAGAAAACTAACATGAGAAAATCTGTAGAACCACTGGTTAAGAAATGAGTTTATGAAAAGAAAAGAAAAAGAAAAAAAAAAAAAAAAGTTGTTAATTAATAATTACAGTTAAAGATAAAGGCAAGACTGATAATTACAATTTAAAGAATCAAAAAGCAAATCTTGTTGCAACATTTATGGTGAAAGTTATTGTTTCTTAATTGTTGTGTTAAAAATGTGCATCTTCATTCTTTTAATGTTTTTCACATTATAAGTTCTGAAGATCTGATTTTCATTTTGATGAACAACTCTTAAAGTGTGCACTTTTTGAACCTCAGAAGCAACACTGCACTGCATGCATTTGCTAGAACTCCATAATAATTTATCAATAGGAAACATATTAATTGGATCTTAGTGTTTCTAAGTCCGCTCAACTTGTTAAAAATGTTTGACCAAAATCTACCAACACTAAGGAATGTTCAACATCCAATATATGATGTATTAATTATTACTTTTGAGTGAGACAGAAGTAATATGAGGAAGCTATGTTGAAAACAAGCTTCCGGACACCAGCTCAAGTTAAAATACATTCCTGCCTTGGGAATTATGATTGCGTGTGTCCTTGGGTTGGTGAAACTCAATCCGGGAGTTCTTGGTCTGTATAAAAGAAAATTGTGTGGTAAAACTAGTGGTGCTACAGAATGGCACAAACTTAGTTTCCTATTCTTTTTAGTGCGGGAAAGCTTTTCGATTTTGACCCATTCCTTTCCCAACTGCTATCTATTGGCACCTAAAAGACTTTCCAGAGCTATTTACTGCTCCTCTGGAGACTTTCCCAGGTAAATATCCCTTTTGCACTTCCTGTATATCACATAGGCCTATCTGTATTTTTACATATTTGTGTACCATGTCACACCATTGTTTTGAAGTGGAGAAATACAGTTATTCAATTACACACACATTTTTCAAACAGTTGCCTGTCAGCCAAAGAGACTGTGAAAGAATTAGGGTATAAATGTTGTACACACAGGATCCCAAATGCCCCCATGCCACAAAAACTAACCAAAAGTAATAAAAAAGAAAAAAAATTCACAGCCTCATGTACTTGGGCTAATCTACTATAAGTGAGTCACATGAAATAGTACTTGACTGTACTATGTGTACTTATTATGGTTATGTAACAATAATAATTTGATAAAACTAATAATATGACTAAAACTGACCTTTTGTGTGCATATCTTTAGTGTGCTTTGCAGCATTAAATCTGTGTGTCTTAATGACTTAAGAGAGGAGGGAAATTGGGGAAAATTGATTGCATTTTCTTTGGGAGTATAATGCAAATTTTACACACAAATAATACTTAGTTTTCCTTTGAAGAGGAGTTTATCAACAGGCGTTTTTGAGAAAGTGAAAATGGTTGTTATGAATTTATACATCTGATTGTGTTCTTGTGTGTAGTGTGAATGTGGCATTCTTCAGCTTTATGTAAATAGTTAGATGAGCTGTAAATATTCACAGAAGAAGAGGCTGTCTGTGGCCACCACGCTGTCCGATCGCTCTGACACAGACTCTGGTGCCGAGGGTGGGCCAATGCCTGCCCCTCCAGGCTCGTCCTCTGTGTCGGATTGGGAGCGGGAGCGCTCCTCCACTCCTCTGAGCAATGGATCTACTGAAGAGAGAGTCATTGTTGTGAAGGTAACAGATTTTGCAAAGGCTTTGCTGCTTGAAAAACAGTATTGCATGACTTGTTGCATGAGTGTGAGCATGAGATAGATGTGTTTTGAATGTTTTCTTGTTGTTTTTTTTTATAATTTTATGTATTTATTTGTTTATTTTTTGTTTAATCAATACTTATCTAAATATTTTGGTTGTGGGAAATGGCAAGTAAAGAATGAATGCATATTTTTACTAAAATGCTGGAGTGCATTATTAATGTAGTTCATAATATTGATTGATAATTCTTTTCATTTAACATGCTTCTAAATTCAAATGCTATCTAATATAAATGTTACCTAATTTATGTATTTGTAATATTTGAATTCTTTTGTTATTCTTAGAAATCATTGTATTTTGTTGTAATGTGTACAAATTGTATTTGTATATTATTGCATGCTTTTTATTGTGCTATTACATTTCTTTATTGTAAATTGAATCTCTTGTAACTACTCTTAACATGAAATCTTCTCCCTTGATATAGTACACTAAGGAAAGTTGACGGTGTTTTACAATTTATAAGAAATCTTTGAGACACAAAACTCCCAATGTGTGCTACTGCTGGATAAGGTATTACCCTTCTGTCCTCCCATCAACCAGATTCGAGACCAAAAACATAAAAGTGTTTAGATTATGACATATCTGGGGATTCATGTGTTCATACTACTTGCAATATATGAATCATGTGTTCATACTACTTTTACCATCTTCCGTAACTCAGAAGCAAGGCATTCTAGAGTTTTAAAACCAGATTGTTATGTCCCTAGATGGATATGAATTCTGTTTTCTATGATGTAATCTGCCAAATGAGACCATTTTGGACCTTCTATTAAGTTTTTTTACGGTACCATCACCCTGTAGCACATATAGCTAGAAATGCTGAAAGTTGGATTCCAGTGAGAAGCTATTATCTCTTTAGGAATGGTTATCTAAAAATTTATATTTTTTTATAGAGATAGGAATTTTTTGTGAACATTCTTTTGGACCTTTCCATTTCGTTTTGTTGGAGTTACTACTCTTCGTGGTTTTCTAGCTAACCAGAACTTCCTGTTCCATCCACAAGGGTAATCACTGCATTATCCGGTGTTGTAACATTTATAAAAGTATTTTGTAATAAAAAACTCTTACATTAAACATTTTCGAATTTCCAGATATACATATTGAGTGCATTCAGCAAAATTGTCTGGGGGAAGGAAGAGCCCGAGTTATGTTTGTTGGGCAGTATTCTAATAAATAATACTTATTTGAATCTTTTGTTACATTTTTGGAGATTTAGCTCCTCTAGGTATCCAAGTCCGTAGCATTTATGGGTGGCTCTGTAGCAGACTTGGGTGAAGGAACTCGACATTATGTGAAATTAAATTGATGCTTCATGTAATGTTCAATTCAGGGTCTAGCTGTGTGACGTTGGGATCCAGCATGAAGCTATTTTCACTTTTAAATCAATGATTTACAAAATGTGGAATGATTGCACCCATCCAGCTAGTTAATATTATTTGGCACAGTTTTTCTAATGAAAGTTGCTTCTCCTTTTTTTGTTAAGAAAATGGAACCTACACCCACTGCAGATCTGGATCGAACCAATGACCAGGTCTACGACTGTACTACTAGTGTTGTGAAGGCTGTAATGTGTTTATCACAAGGTAATGCTGATCATAAAAAATTGTTATAAATGACCAGTATCCTTACTATTAGCTAATGTGCCTGACCCGCACAATCTAGTGCTGTTGTTTTTTCTTAAAAAATACAAGTGATTTGAGATACGATTTGATATGTCTTTCGTAGAACTATGCTTCACTATTTGACTATTTGAAAGGCCTTTTGTGTGACATTCAGTTGACAATTTCAGTCTTAACTCACTGCACAGCTGCAATTTTGTATTTAATTGTTTTTCTAATTTTGGTTGTAATATAGCAAAATGGAACAAGTGAATTTTTTTTTAAATAGGAGATTTGAATTTAGAAAGAAAGCAGTCCGTACATTATAGGATGTTGTACAAGGTATAAATAATTACTACATTGTTGGAGAAATTAATACTTTGGTATAATTAATAAGACATTGGTGTCTTGGTATTGAATGAATTAATATCTTACAACCTTTTCAAATGTGTAGAGATCTTCATTGAAGCTTACAAATTTATCCACAAAATATATGTTGTGAGCAAATAGGAGGTAAACTACTTAAAATTAAATATACACAATATGTTTCTTGTTCATTAAATTTGAAGTGAGTCATTTTTCCTCTGAAACTTCAAAGTTGTCTATAAACAATAGAAAAAGGATGTTTAAAATCTTAAGTGGGGTCCATGAGACTCCCATGTTAAACAGTATAATGTCAGATTAGCGTGCGAGTTAAGGTAGGTGAGAGTTACAAATGAGAAAACCATTCCTTATGGCAAAATGTAAGCAAATCTGTACGTCATGAGATTTACAGTAATGGAATTTTGACATAAAGGTTTATTATATTCTGATTGCAACAACACAAGGCACATTAAGGCAATTCATACTGTGTGGTCTTAAAATTTCTGTTAACATTTAAAAACATTAAAATATTAAGGGAATTGCATGTTTTCCTGCCATTTGCTCCTTTTTTGTTCTTAATATCAGAATGTTATGATGTCAGGTGTGCAACAGAGTCGAGCTGAACAGTACCTGGACCTGGTAAGGCAGGTGGGCGTAGAGTTGCGTGCCTTACTGTCGAGTGTGGACAGAATGGTACCCCTTTTCCCCGTTAGTGCTCACAAAGAGGTTAGTTGCATGTGTTATTTTCAGAAAAGTAGTAAAAGTAAATGTAAGTTAAATAAGTCTTGTGTATTTGGCCTTGATTATTATAGTTTGGCTCGTCAGGGAGCCAACTCAACCATGAGAAACACAACTCCAATGAGTTTTTTCTTCTTGCGCTCAGTTTGATAAAAACAGAATGAGAGGCTACATACACATGAGCAAATAGCACATATATTCATGTTTTTACTTTTTTTAATACTACTACCTAGTATAGAGAAAAGAATTGGTTTGCTGCACGAGTGCTGACTTTTTGTTGCCATTTGTGTTTGTAAAAGAAAAAATAAGTAAAAACCATCATTTAAACATGCTCTTTAGATTTTCTGTGAGTCACTAAGTATCTATGCTGTTAAACATGTATGTAAACTATGTATTCTTGTGGATAATGGCCAACCTCCTATGTGGCGAAATTAGTGATTTTTACATTTTGGCATCAATGATTGTTGATGATGCTTGATGCTTGTTGATGATGATGCTTGTTGTTTAGTTTGATAAGAAAGTTTCCTAAGAAAACTAGAAATTGCGGTTGTAAAATACAAAATAAACTTCAAAATTTATTCCCAATAGAATATCTCGTATGTGGTAAGAGCCACATGGCAAGTTATTCTGCTCAGGGTGCTTTCAGAAAAATATTACAATAAGTAAATATTTAATACTATTTTACAGAAAGTGTACAAGACCTAAACTTAGTCAAGTGTACATTATTAACATCAGAAAGTGTTTTTCCTTCCTCCTGTAAAATTTTGTTTTTTTCACATAGGAGGTTGTCTATCATCATCAACAACAATATGCATTTACATAATTGTTCCATGTTCTAAGAAAATGTGAAATGTTGATTATTTGTCTTATGGTAGCTGAAGTATTGGGCAAAATATGGGGCAAATAAAAAATGTTTATCAAAGCCAAATACACAAAACTTATTCCATTTACTTGTACTATTTTATTATGTTATATTTTGAGTACATCATTCACTCTCCTGTTTGATAAAATAATTTGTATATCACATTTTAGGTTGAAATGGCTCATAAGGTGCTAAGTAAGGATATGGCTGAATTAGTTAATGCAATGAAATTGGCCCAGAGTTATAGCACCACCACTCTTGATGCAGAGTATAGAAAGTAAGTTTCACCACGTGATAAGCTAATTATTACATTTTATTAAATTGATTTAGGTTAATTAAAGAGAGAGTGCACGATCTTTTTCCCAAATACTGTGATTTATGAAAATTGACAAATAACTTCAGAGCGAATATTGATTTTTTAGAGAGGTGCTAGATCTTTTCACCACAGGATGATTGCACTTCTTCCCATAGAACATTGCAGAATTTATAACTTTTTGACGTTAAATAAATAAACAAAAACAAAAAGGTATAGTGCATAAAATATGATAATCATAGTTCAAACTCTTAATGAGTGGATGCCTTAACTTATCCACGTAAAATAAAGGAGTGGTAAATTTATGTCTAAATATTTTATCTATGGATAAAAGCTAACTTGTTAAATATTATTACTTTTTATAATTCATGTATGGGCCACTACTGACCACACAACACATTTTCTCTCTCCGAGGACAAGTTCTCTTCTATCCTGAATAGATCCACGTGTGGAATTATGGGGATCAGCATCTACATTTCTTGGTTAAGGAAAGGTTGTTAGTCTTCAATATCAGTTAGGGCAGATAGGATGATGTTGATGATGTTGTTTTTATTATTATTATTATTATTATTATTATTATTATTATTATTATTATCATCATCATCATCATCATCATCATCATCATCATCATCATCATCATCATCATCATCATCATCATCATCAGGGTGATGATGAGGGGTGATATGATAAGGATGATTGTAGGAGGTATTAAGTGAGGTACTGGGAGGTGGGAGGTATTTGTGGTATTTTGGAACCATCTCAGCCTTGTGACCGAGGGGAAACCTCAAAAACCCCGGTCAGGATTGCCAGCCCGGAGATCGAACCCAGACCTCCCGATTGTGAATCCAGTGCACTATACACTGAGCCATTTCACTTGGTTGCTAAATATTAGTATAACGTTGTTTATTACTTTGATTTTGTAGAAAATATTTTTTTTAAATTCTCATATGCAGAATGAAACTTGTATGAAGTGAAATCAAAATGTAAAAGAATTTTACGTGATGTTTTAGAGTATTTAGTGATTAAAGTTTTTGATTAATTCAGTCTGTTTCAACAAATTATAGAAAATCAGAAGTGAATCAACTACTTGAATTCTTTATATGAGGCATGTGCACGAGGTCTCCTCAACTGCATAAGAATGTGACCTGTGAAAACTTGTACATATGATTCTATTTTTTAATAATACTATCCTTGTTATTGGCTAGAAGCAAATGAATTATTACTGCACATATCACACTTGCTAATGTAGGAGTCAGGTATTGGTTGAATTACAGTCACCATTTTGAATTTGTAAATGTACATCAGGGATTCCTGACCTTTTCTTATATTGACCCCTTTTTAAGAGAATGCTTGCTTCATATCCCCCCTTATGTTTTCTCTATACTATGCACCATCTATAATCAGGACACAATGAATTGCACACAAATTCCTTAAAGATAATAATTTCATACTCCAATATTCTCTGGTCAAGGGTCTGGATTCTTCAGTTATCAAAGATGTTTTCGTTTTTGAGTAGCTGACTTTCTAATCTTCATTGAAATGCATTGGTTACAAAATGTTGAGTGTATTTTAAAAACTGGCTTTTTAATAACATTTCTCTAGTGCATTTTGCAGAGAGTACTTTCTTACGGTCTGTCTTATAACACATAGTTATAATTTTGTGAATTTTCTAAACATCCTAATTTATTAATTCCTAAGGATGAAAGACATATACTATAGAGGAGAGAATTTGATTTCAATATTATATGTATTGTTGCTTTGTATAAGAAAACAATTAAATTTCAATGAATAAGTAGAAAATGAGATCTTCATTATACCAGTAAGGTGCCTGTTCATAATTCAGCTATTGGTTTTTAATTGATCCGTTTCAAAATTTCATACACCTCCAAGGGGTCTGTACTGACCTTGTTGGCAACTCCTGATGTACGTACAGATGTGTCAAAATATATGTTACAAACTTTCAGGGTCAGAGAGAAATTGCATAATAGTTTTTCTTTCTTTTTTCTTCTTCTCCGTACAATAGTAATATTTGCCCTTCAATTTGAGACAACCCTGAGTGTGTACAGATGTAAGGGATGTACACGAAGTCTCCTCAAGTGCATAACAATGTGACCTGCAGAACACTTATGCATAGAAGTCTCGTAACTATTAGTGGCAAATGTTTAATAAGTTGTTGAAGTATAATATTATATAATAAATGGAACAATTCTTGATAAGAAAAAATCAAGTCTGTTGGATCCTCTCCCCCCCCCCCCCCCTCCATCCTTAAAGAAAAATGCCAAGAAAACTCTTGAGTTCTGAAACATTTTGTTTATCTCATTCTGCCTATTCTGGATATTGTAATGTTTACTTCTTTATTAAGTAATGTTTCTTATAATGAATTTGTAGAGTTCTCACAAAACTGTTATGAATGTGCCCACATTTTTTAAAAGTGTGTTTGGTTAGTAATACAAAGTGCCTTATCTGTTTCAGGGGAATGCTTTCAGCAGCCCATGTTCTTGCTATGGATGCAAAGAATTTGCTAGATGTCATTGATTCTGTGCGAATTCGCTTTCCGGAAGTGAATGCTGCTGTGTGCTCAGGTCCTGCAGCAGACACTAGCTAGCGGACACATTTAATGCCAGGGCATTTACTTTGTTGCCAGTGTGTTGTCAGCCATCCAGCTATTGTAACGCTCCTGCTGCGCTGCTGCGTGCTTCATCTTTTTGAATCATGCACATTCCAGTATGTTTTTATCTATGCTGGAATCAAGAGACATGGTGATAAATATTATTATGGTGTTTTTTTTCTTATCTCAGTGGGATGTTGAATATGCTGGGTGAAAGAAAATGTCAATATTTTGATTGAGGAGGCCTTCCATTACCTGACACCTTGCCAAGTATTCAAGGTTGATGTGTGGTCATTGCTGGTGCAGGCACTCTGGGTCCTACTTTTTCTTGTCTTTGACTGCTAACACACAAATGAAACACAGCTAAAAATCAGCAAACAGTATTGTTGCTTACCTTTTGCAGAAATCTTATGAAGCATGTATGATCGCTTTCGAAAAACTTTAGCATTACAGAGCATGTATGTTCTTATGAGTTTACAAGTTTTCTGATTTGTATTGATTAGCAAGATACACAGAACTTAAGTTTTTCCAAGCATTCAGTAGAAATATCAACTTCTGAAACATAGTAGTTTGCACACATTTCATAAGCTGTGTTTTTAAAGAACCGTATTGAATATGAAAGTCATATTATTAACCTTTCTTACTTTTTTTTTTTTTTTTTTTAATCATCTGTTTTGTTATAATTTGGCTCAGGGATCCCTCATTCTAAAATAAGAATGATATGCCAAAACTTTTACAATATGAAATAAAACAACAAGAAATGTTCAAAATTGCATTTAAATTTTTTTTTTTTTTATTATCTTTTGTCTCATAATACCCAGAAATTAATTCTGGTTATGAAATTAAATTTTTATCATTTGTTATGCGGACCATCAAAAAGCTGTAACCTGTTATTCTTGTCCTCTTGTTAGGCATATTTTCTTCATTCTTCCATTCTTGATTGTTGAGGATCAATTCTATTAGACTTGTATAAGGTATTACAGTTCTTTAATAAATTAATTCAATTTGTATTGGAGAGTAATCAGATGCTCTGTAACTAACTAATATGTATTTCAAAATTTCTATCTATACAATTTCTTAGTATTCTTGATTTAACAAGGGAAATTTTAGTCATATTTTTTATTGGATTTAATATCTTTTAAAGTATAGATTATAATTTTATTTATATTTTTATGAGTTCTTTTAGTAGAATGTAGCATGGGATCCCTGATATAGACCAACTGAAAATGTGGAGTGCATAGAGAGGTTATAATCTTCCTCAAATTGGACTCTGTTCTTAATATCTACTTTTGAAATTGCACCAAGAGTGATGTAACTTTGACCAGTACATCCAGATAGCTTTAAGTGCTCCATTGAATGAAATTGTGATTTGTTTGTTTTATTTTGGACAATTCAGACACATTCTCCATGAGTCAATGTGATGTGAATTTAGATTGTAATTAGTTGTAACATAATGACGTGCATGGCTCCATGTAACAGGCAGATAGACACCATATTGTAAATACTATACATATATATACATATACAGATACAGAGTGCTGTTCCACAAGCTAAAATTTTGTAAGCAGACCTGTGAAAGAAGGTGTTGTATATTTCATTTAATAATAGGTGTGTATTGATGACAAGATATTTTAATTGGTAAAATGGAAAATTTAAAACAAATATTTATGATGATAACTTAATTCTGAAGCTCTGACAATTTCCAAGGTTATCCTGACTGGAGACAATGTTCATAAAATAATTTGTATAGTCATACATTTCAGAGTATCTAATGCACATATGTCATACACTTGTGATCTTTTTCAACTTAAGCTGGAATATACTTTCTTTTTCTTCAATTTACATTCAGTAAAAACAATCATTCCTATATTCATTCTGTGCTACTGTTTTTTGTTATAATAAATGAGTGTTATGAATATTGGTACTACTTAGTTAAGAATAATGGTTCTGTTTTAAAGAACTATTGTGCAATTAAATAAATGAAATGGATTCTTGGATTTGATTTGTTTTGTTTTGTTTTCTATCTCCTTGAGTGGAGTGATAGATCACTATTGGCATTTAATTACTATGTACATTTCTGCAGAAAAATCTATGAAACAAATAAAAGCACAAATGAGACAAGACAAATATGCAACCCTATTCCCCAACTATTCTCAAGAAACCCTTTCGGTACTTCAAATTATGTTAAGAATGAATTCTGTAAAGATATTCAAGGTTCAATCTAATTGGGCCCAAGATTTGTAATTTAAAGAGTAATAATTTTATGTTTGAGCATTTACAAAGGGAATCGCACAAAAATCCTTTAATATTTTCTCTTTTAATTGAAGGAAATTACTTTTGTTTTGATATCACATTTTGAAAAGTTTTAAATCTTCCAAATATTTACTCAATGCTTTGTATGCTGATGAGCCCACATATAAGGCCTTTTATGATAAGTCCACAATATAAATGATCTGCCTTTTATTAATATGTTTACTTCAGTTTGATAATTGGCTGAGAATGCATCTCTGTTTTTAGTTACGGAATTTTATTTTTTAAATGATAAAATTTACTTTACAAAATGTTGAAACTAAGCCTCTTAACAATCTTTAAATTTTATTAAAATGTACTAAATTGTAAACGTATCTTGCAAGTTGTTAATTTCAATTAGAATTTCTTGTTTAAAACTGCACAACTAATTTTTTATAAGTGCACCTTACTGTTGGGTGGAAGTATAGTTCAATATCGTTGTTAAAATGCAGTTGATACCTGCCTGGAAAAGTTCACAATATTTAAGACTCAGACGTATGGTCAATAGAATGATACCATTTTTTTATTTCAGAATAACTAAGAAATAATCTAATGAAAAGCAAATAACAATAGAAGTCTTGATTCAATTGGAAGATCTCAAAATGTTCAAAGACCCTGAGTGAGGGTGTGCCATTTGGTCCTGTGTATGAAGATTTCAGAATATTTCACATAAATAATAATTGAAATGAGTAAGTGATCAACTTTGGGCAAATTCAGAAATTGCAATGAAGTAATTGAGGGTTATGAAATCAAATACTCATTCATTTGTTGCAATGATCTCTCATAAGAATAAACAATGGCTTCAGGAGCAAAATTCAAAACAAACATGAATGTGTGTACACACAAGAGTAATCCTCTTCACAATTGCTCTCTGACAACTGTAATTGTCCATGTGGTGGTTAACAGAGCAATTTCAATTACCTACTGTAACACAGAGGTAGCCATAGAAGATGGCTTGGTGATCAAATGAAAATTATTCTAATCTCTAAAAGTGATGTTAGCAAATTGAAGCTTGTAGACATCGCAGAAATCTTTTTCACTGACTAAAGAAAAGATAAAAAGAAGCATTAACAATACTATTTTGACATTTTCTACTTCATTCAATGTAATATGATCACCTGATTAATACTTAGCATAATTGAAAAACTTATTATACTATGTCAATACTATGTCCTTAAGGGCTCGGTTTTTAAATGTAACCTCATTACCTTACACTATTTGATATTAACATTAAATCACTTCAGAAATAGATATTACTTCTTTTTTCCTCTACATGTGTTCAATTATTAAGAGATAAACCTTGTAAGGAAACTCAATGATTATGTCACTGTGATCCAGCATGGTCAAACAAACACTGAAATTCAGAATTTTGTATTAATGTTGAAGTTGTAGCACTTTTTCGAAAAATAGCTTGTTCTAATCTCATTAATTTTTTGGAAACTATTTGCTGGTTGGCTCTTGCTGAATTTTAATAATTTGATTAAACATTTAGAAAAAAAATCTCAACAATAATAAGCAATTTCTGCATTGAAAGATGATTGAATTTCTGTATCAAAGACCATCACACCAGAAGAAACCTAGACATTCAATTGTTTTTTCTTGTTTTATGTATGAAACTAATAATCTCTAATGAAATTTTCTGTCTGAATACCTACATATACGTTTTATAGAGCAAAATTATTTTCCTGTATATTGAAAATGATGACTTTTATTCTTTATATTACTGAACCCACTATTACCTACTTTTGTATTTGACAGTACAGTTGTATTGTGTGAATTTTGGTGCTAACGGTTTTCATCACTTTTTCATCTTTTTTGGTGCTCATCACTATTTTCTCTGGGAATGATATCTTAACAGATGCAGGTCCACAGGGAGGAAAATTTCCTCTCCTGAAATTTTTCAGTAACCATTTATTTTAACTTGTCATGAAACTTTCAAGCAAAAATATTTTTAGATAATAATTATAACTGAAACTCTGCTAATTTAAGTCAATACATGTTTATGGACAACACAGTTGAAGGGAAATTATTTTTCTGAATACATAAATTAAAAATGAAATTTAACAATAAAAAAAGGTAACAAATGGCATTTATTACTCAGAGGTGAATATATTAGTTTTATTATTTTTTCGCTTAGAATTGCTTTTCTTGAGGTACATGAGAGCATGTGAAAGTTCTCGCACGAGTACATTAGTTCAACATAATGACATGTGTCAATTTGTTCATCTTCATCCTTAATCGGTAGTGTCTTTGAACATGGGGCACCCGTGGGTATTACACTCCATACCACCCTCTTTTCTATTCTTTAAATTTTTAATGAAGAAAGTTTCAATAATTTCCAAAACATTTATTCCATTAATAATACAACTTTTATATAATACAATTTCACAAAATAAACTAAAATTCGTGTGTCTTGGTGATTGGACAGCAAATTGGTTGATGAGATCATCACAGATTATTGATTTTAAAATTTTGGATTTCTATTGCCAACAACGCAAGCACAAGTAATTGATCTTTGGTCATTGTTGAACTGAGTTAGTTTTCACTCGCTTCAAATACGAAAAAGATCTCTCAAGCGCTGCTAATACTTATCGGTGTGCAGACAATCATCCGTATGCAATATCAACATCGGAATACTTCATATACAAGAAATTTTCTTGAAGAAACTTCAACAATTTCACTGGAGACAAATTTTCATATTTTTCTAAGCGTAATGTGCTTGCAATCATTTCCCAATGTGCCTTCTAAATCCGTGTCAGAGAACTCTCGCAACAAGTTTAATGTTTCATTTAAATTGCTTGCATTCAAATTTCGAAGTTCGAAAATTATGAAGAACTTTCCACTGATCTTCTAGTAAGCTTCGTTTCTTCGAGTTAATTTGCAAACTAAGTTAACTAAATAAATCACATAGAACGTATTCATTTGGAAGTGATAGACAATTTAAAATTGAGTTAAAACGTGTCATGTATTGGTCACATATTTTTGGATAAACAAAATTCAAGTTATTTCTTATTAACTGGGATATCACAAGCAAAAACTAGCTATGAAATGCTACACGAAATGTTTTTTAGGCTACTGATTATTATTTAGTTCAATTACATTAATTTAATCAACGTGATTATATAACAAAAATATACGCTTAAACATGCTGAAATTTATAGAATTAAACATTTTGAATTTTCAAAATGTAATCACAAGGGTTCCGATGTCGACTCACGAGCAAGCTGCCTGGACGCACATGTACGCACCCCCAGAACAAATTCGTAACACCAAAAAATTCAATTTTGAGTTACATTATTTAATGTGACATTTCTTGCTCTTGAGTTTTAAAATAGTATCATTTCTTTTTAGGCCTATTTTAGTCAATTATTGGCAATGTTCATACTTAATAAACATGATTTGTTAATTTAATTTCAACCCTTTAAAGCGTTCTCCTGAAAAAATAATCTTTTTTGAGTTTTGACACTTTTCTAATGGGAGAGGAATGTCAAAATATTACAATTGTGTATTTAAAAAAACAAAAGAATACAGCAATACGACGTTTATGTCATCTTGTACAGTACAATTAGTACTATCCCTACCAAAAGTTTAAAAACATTTGAGCTGTTTCTGAGAAATTTTTGTTTTCGATATTTTTTTGGTAATGCACATATTTCACGCAATAATGCACGAAAATTTCCAAAGAAATGTGCATTACTTCAATGAAAACTAATTAGAGCGAAAGAATTGAAGAAAAAAATGTCTACCTTCAGTATTGTAGTGAGGAGATGTCGAGAAAAATCCACTTTTGTATCTTTCAAAAATTCAAAGTTAACAGTAAAAATCGGACCTTTGTCATCTTAAACAGTGTATTTCAATGTATTCTTGAACAAAATTTAATGGTACAATTTGAAGTATTTTTTGAGAAAATTTTGAAAATGCCCGAGGGCGTCATTTGAAGTATTTTTAAATTTTAAAGAATGCTTTTCAAACTCTTAAAGCTTTGAGTCAGGCTAGATCGACCGGGGAATATTCATTTTCGAAAAAATTCTACGAAAATTTAGGCGCAGTGTTGTTTATAGATGGACAGACAGGCGGACAGTCGTTTTGGAGAAAAAGAAAAACAACAATAACAAACAAACGAATACTTTTTCGGTATCAGGAGGCTTCAAAATTACTGTTACTGTGAAACCCCGAATTCGATTTCCCACAGCATTACATAACTTTCTCAATAGTCTATATTACTTCGTACTAAGTAAGTACACTAGAAAGTAAAACTAATGTTGAGATGCGGGAAAAAACGAATGAATTATCTGACGAATCCCAGTCGGACCACAAGAGAACCGCCTGCTTGCCTGCTACATCTTTGTAAGTGTAAGTGAAACTAGGGTTTCGGGTGTAGCCAGGTGTACCCGAGAATAATATTTTTTGAAAAAATATTAGGAATAGTTTAGGCGCTATTCTTGTTGACAGAACGACGTATTGGAGACGGGCAGCATAGAAACGGACAAACGAATGGACGGACGGACGTTTTACCGAAAATCAATTTTTCGGTATCAAGCATACACAAAACGTAAATTCTATTTAGTTATCGTTTTAGATGAAGTAATTTACTACACATTTTTTTGTATCAGGGCTGAGATTTTTTGTCGAAAATATCGATATTTTGCGGCATTATATAACTTTTTCAATACGCACGTATACGAGAAAGTAAAAATGGCCAAATAATTATTTTTGCACTTTATTTCTACTTTTTTAATTAACCTCTCCAAATTAATTCAAGACTCCTCGCAAACGGGAGCAGATACATGTTGGTAGGTGGATTTTTCTGACGTCATCAAGC